GTACTTTAGTTACTTGCATAGGGTATAGAGGGATTGCACTTAGCATAGATTTACTTTAGGTAGTCTTCCCTACTGTAGAGAGACAATTTGACTTCCATCCTGCTAATTTGGCTTTCACCTTATCAATAATATATCAAAATTTATTTCTTGGTTGTCTATCATATGAGAGAGGGAAGCCTAGATATCTGCCTATCTCTGTAGAGATTTTCATGCTTGCTATTCTTTTAATCTTGCCTTTCATATCATCATTGACATTTTTGGAGAAGTAAAGTAAAGATTTTGAGAAGTTCACTTTTTCTGTAAATGCAGGGCAAAAATCCTTAAGACATTTCATCATAATTGAGGCTTGTTTCTTTATAGCCTTACCAAAAAGAAGCAAATCATTTGCAAACATCAAGTGGGAAATCAAAAGACCTTTTTTGGTAATGTGAATGTGTTGCCAATAACCATAATCAACTACATCATTAATAAGATAGGAGAGTCTATCCATACACAAAAAAAAGTGAAATTAGGTCTCCTTGTTGAAGACCTCTTTAAAGGGTAAAGAAATTAGATTAATTCTCATTCCACAAAACATTAAAAGACACAATAGTAATGCTCTTTTAGTTCCTTCCAAGCCCAAAATAACCAGCCCATTAATGTACTCATCATAATCCAAGCCCATGTTAATATATTTGGTTAGAGGGGAGGGCCCCCCTCCCCTCATTTGGTTCCTTCCTCCCTCTTTTACTAAATAAAATATAGCAATGATGGTTTTTGATGATTGCAACAATTAGCATGACTAGAACAATATTTCATTAGTCTTTGCAATCTTCTTCTTCTTCACTGTACTTGGGACATTATTCAATTAGCAGTGCAAATTGATGGCAAATTCTTTTCTTCGATGGCCAAGGAAAAGGGTTTTGGGTTCAGAGAATTAATTATTAGTGAAATTGATTAAAATAATTTATTATTTCAAGCATTATATTTTAAATCAAATGAGAAAAATTAATCAAGCAACTACTAGCTATGATTAAAATAAGATGACCTGACACATTTTAATTGGATGGTCCATAAATGAGGTGGCACACTCGATTCACTTAAGTATTTCTCATAGCAGACAAGACACAGTGGATCTCTAGGTTAAAAATTGTCTTATCACATTAGTTTTTTTTTTGAAAATTTTTATCATATATGTTTATTATTTCTATGTTGAAAAATAGAAATTTGTTTTAAAAAACTGTTCCATATACATTGGAGAAATATTAAATCCAATCTTTTATCGATGATGAATTTAAGAAATTAATGAACGACAAATTTTGTTTGAATTTATGGACGATGGTCGCTGGACAAATCACATGTGGGCTATGTTTGGATAATTTTCCAACCTTGGTTGGGGTAGCGCAAACTTAGGTTGGAGTGTTAAAAGTTCATTTGATTATGTTTGGATAAAAATAAAAGCCAACGAGTGTTGAGGGGACAACGGGCATTTTCAAAGCTACCTCATGGAGCTTTCTATCGAGCGTTGAGATCTGATGAGGGATGTTGGAGCATTTAATGATTTCCTTAATTTTTTTATCAATCTTCTCTCTCTTCAATCTTCATTATCTTCATGAATGCTAATGAGCTAATCTCTTTTTTCTGCCTTCACAAGTCCAAGCTCTTCACCTCCTTCTTGTCAACACAGATCTGACCTCCCTTCTCTCCAGTATCTCACAATACCAGTGTTCAACCCTTTAGTAGAAGGTACTAGTTCCATATATGTCAGCGGTGGTTGCAGCAAAGCTAAGGCTATTGACGGTAGTTGGTAAGAGTAGATATAGGAAGACGATGATGATGATGGAAATGAAAATGAAAGGAATAGGAACAAAAGACAAATGCAGAGTTGTCATTGATGAGTTGCATGCTTCCTGTTCTTCATTGAGAGAGAGAGGTTGAATGTTGAAGAAGGAGGTGAATTAGTATAGAGGACAATGTGAACAGTAAAATTAAAGATGCTTGACCGTAGATCTTAGCCTTATGTACATGATTTTTATTTCTTTTTATTTAGATAATTTGAAATGTAATAGTCTTATTAATATATTTATATTTGTAATCTATTTTTTTAAATTTGTAATTTTAAGTTTAATATTTTTCCTACAAATATCACAATAGCCATAAAAATATATACAACAAAATTGAGATTTTTGCAAATATAGCCCATATTATAGGATCAAATCAAGTAAATAGCCTAATATTTATTATATTTTACATTATAGCCAATTTATTATATTTGTTAATGATATGCCGTTGTATATCAATGATATTCCCTTATAAATTTTTAAATTTTTAATGATAAACACTTTGTATATCAATGTGAATTAGTCACACTCTCAAACTTTCAAAAATTTGGTTTATATTTTTTGTGTATAAGATTTTTTTGGCTAGCGAGCCAATTTATCCCAAAAAGTATTTAAATTATTCTTTCACCAACTTATAAATCATATCAATTGAATATTTGTATTTTATGAATTTATTTTAGCTTTTTATAATTGAATATTTAAGATTTTTTACTTATTAATTGTAATTTTAAGTTTAATATTTTTTACTTATTAATTAGTCAAAAATATATATACAAAAGATTTCATGTTTATTTTTATAATTAAACATCTCAACTAACTTTTAAATTAAATTATTTAAATAAATTTCAGTTCATCTAACTGACTTTTGCAATAAAAAATATTTAAATATAAATCACATTACATTTATTGATTTTTTTTAACTTCAATTTACTACCTCAATTGAATTCTAATTTTAATTATAAAATTTTTAATCTAAACATATCCATAACTAGGCTTTTACATATTGCTTTATGGTGGTACATCCAATACAGTTCTATAAAGTCGGAAAAAGAAAAGATTTTAAGAAATTTGTGCGCCCATCATTGCTTTTCAATTTTCGTCATTCATAAATTGGCCAGTGGACGAGATTACGGCACATTGACACCAATTTATACATGCTTACACGGAACTTTCCATGAAATATCAAAAACTATTAGTCTTATCTCAAAAAACCAGTTAGCATATTCTATTAATTGATTGTCATATTTTCAAAATTTCCTAAGCAGTGAATCAAACACACACCTATCAATTTTGCATTCTATATATGTGGTTTTATTGATTATATTTCACATTAATAATTAATAAATGAACTTGAAATGAACTTGCAAAATGTTCAATCTCTCGTGACTATTCTGACTTCTGAGGTAAGTTAGAGTCAAAGAAGCCTGCTCTCCGAAGTCCGAAGAAATCTAGAGCAAGCTATGTGCATGATCCATAACCACACACCACGATCAGTCTCACAAATCTGCAGACACGATGCTTAATTTCAAATCGTGCTAACTGTTTACTACTCAAACAGCAATGCTCTATAAATTACCACATGCCCTTCGTCTCTCTTCCCACACCATCGGAACATCACAATCTTCGTTTTCTTTTCTCCGTGAACCCATCATGGCAGCTTCATCAGCCACTCCCGACGTACCCTCTCACATCAAAGCTTGGGTCTACTCTGAATATGGGAACCCATCAGAGGTTTTAAAGCTAGACTCAAGCGTGCCGTTACCAGACCTCCAGGAAGATCAGGTTCTCATCAAGGTTGCTGCCGCCGCCCTTAACCCCGTAGATTATGTGAGGATGTTCGGCTACTTATAGGGCTTCGACTCTCCTTTACCTGTCAGTCTTTCTCTCTTTCACTCCCCTGTTTCGTCATCTTAATTACTGATTATCTCGTAGGGGTGAAATTTCAGACTACTCCGGCCTTTGATGTTGCCGGTGTGGTGGTTAAAGTGGGAGGTTCGGTGAAGAAGTTCAAGGTATGAAGTGTACGGCGATATCATTGTGGGTTTGTCAGAGCCAAAGTCATTGGGGTCATTGGCTGAGTATGCTATAGGGGAAGAGAAATTATTAGGACACAAGCCTCACAATCTGAGTTTTGCCGAAGCTGCTAGTCTGCCTCTGGCCATTGGGACTGCTCACGGAAGCGTCGAACGAGTGGGGCTTTGTGAAGGCCAATCCATTCTTGTTCTTGGTGGTGCTGGTGGTGTTGGAACTCTCGTTATTCAGGTAATTTAACTTGCAGATGTCTAGATTCTGTCCGATGATATCACCAAAAATATTCGTGTTAATCTTGTACTTAAGAATGTTTGCATGAGGCAGCTTGCAAAGCATGTGTTCGGTGCATCCAAGGTAGCGGCTACATGCAGCACAGGGAAGCTGGAACTGTAAAGGAAGTTGGGGGTTGACCTGGCAATTGATTATGCCAAAGAGAACTTGGAGGACCTCACGGAGAAATTTGACGTGGTGTACGATGCAGTGGGTTGGTTTTCTGAACCTGTATCAGTCGTCCATATATACTCAGGTTGTGTTGTGTGTGTGTGTGTGTGTGTGTGTGTGTGTTAAAGGTACGAGTGACGGACTGAATTATACAGGAGAAGGAGAGAGGGCAGTGAAGGCCATGAAAGAAGGAGGCAAAGTGATGAGCATAGTGCATGGGGCGAGTAACACAGCACCTTACATGAGCTACGTGATGGACGTGTTTGAAGGGACAGTGTTGGAGAAACTGAGACCCTACTTGGAGAGTCGGAAGGTGAAGGCTGTGGTTGAACCCAAGGGCCCTTTCCCATTTTCTGAGGCTGTGCAAGCATTTGGCCATCTTCTCACCAAGAGAGCCACTGGAAAAGTAGTCCTTTATCCAATCCCCTAGACGGCTAGACTCCTTGTCATAGTTTTGTCATGTCATCCATATTAGAATTGATTCGTCCGTCGCTATAGGTTCTCTTCTCGTGGGAGGCTTGTAGTTCTGGATGCTTAATTATTTTAGTCATGGAAAGCAGAATATTATTATTAATGGTGTGTCGTTATACTCGTGTGTTCCTTTCGAGTCACTTTTCAATGCTGTTTAGCACTAATAAATAAATGCCTATTGGAGGAGAAAGTTGTCAGAAAAATAGTCGAATAAACGAAATCAACTGAGGCGGTAAATATTTGAAGTTTGAGTTTGAGGCAATCAAGCTTTGCTAAACTGTAATTAAATTGATACACCGGTGCCAAATTGTCATTCCCTCAAATTCTGGAGAGCGAACTCAATTGACTTGTCTTATAAAATGTCAGAAAACAAAAAAGAATGAGAATCTTCTTTCATGAGAGCTAGATATGTAAACCAGATATAGGAAATAAAAATGCACTCATTTTCGCCAAATGTGGTTGCCTTTTGTCGGAGAAAAGTCAAATTCCTAGTTTATCTTGATTCCCTTTAATGAATATATACTTCAACAAAAATTAACTTTTCACGCTTTTCCATATTCCATAAGCTCTCTATACACATTCCATATCTTTTTTGTAATCTTAAAATTAGATCAAGGTAACGTTAATATCCTTCATTACCATACATGTTTACTTTCCATCTCCTGTCGAAAAATGCTCATCAAATCTCAAACAACCAGCTGGCTTTCCCCATTCAGATTCTATTCGGAATTACATACTTAATGCTCCTAAACTCGTCATGCTCACCCCATATATTGTACTTATACAGATATAATAATTACTTCCTCCGTCCCAAATTATAATATATTTTTGGAAAAAATTTAACATCTCAAAATATAAAACACTTTTAATAAAAATAAGATTTTATTAATAATATTTTTTCAATATTATCCTTCTCATGTATTCTCTCTTTTCAATATTCTTTTATAAATGAAGTATTAAATGAAGGATATTTTTAAAAAGTTTATATTTTTATCTTGAAAAATAAGGTTATAAAATATATTTAATAAATTATATTGATATGTAAGATTATATTTAAAAGTAACTTATAATTTAATAAATTGTATTGATATGTAAGATTATATTTAAAAGTAACTTATAATTTAAGACGGAGGGAGTAGTATATAAAACCTAGCTACTTATACAGACATAATGCTTCTGACGAAGACATAACTAGATGGAATCTAAGCACCAGCAGTAATAGTCGGACTCGGAAATTGCCAGCATTTGTTCAGGGTTCATTCTCTCTAGTTCTTTTCGCCTCCACGAAGCAAAGTTGTTCTTATTTTGAGGTTCTGAAGCCAAAGCGTGTTTCTCTTTTTTGTGTACTTGAGATCTCATCCTCATGTACAGCCTCATCGTTGCCACGCAATCCTCGTATGGATCTTGAACCCCTGTTTGGATTTCATACCTGCATGTATTATACATATAACAGTATATTTAACCACAATCTTCATTATGATCAAGAAGCATATACAGACACAAGGGCAAAATCATGCTATCTGCAGGTTGTTCAATATAAAATATGATGTCAATTTATTTGTAGCTATAATGGTATGCAGGAGTTTCTCTGGATAAAGTGGCATGGGACCGAATGCTTTTTCAACTTTTAGGAGTTAAAGATGCTTGCCCGAGATACGCTTGTGTCAAGTACTTGAGGGAGTTGCTGAGCTTGCTCGTTTTCATCAATGGAGGGTATTTTGCAGTGTCCCTGTTGACATAAACATTTGCTCAATACGAATCTGAGGAGTTAGATGTCAATGGAATATATGTCTAGTAGGAGGGCTAAGAAAAAGGGGGAAAAAGGTAAAGAATGATGACTTCTATCTTTTCTTTATATGGTTTATATACTAAAGGAATAGGAGGGAAAAAAATTCATGGACCCAATCCACCCACTAGTCGCAGAAAGAAAAAGAAAGGAGAGAAAAAATTGGTGAAAATTGTTTATTATATATAATAAGCAATCCCATGAATTCTTTACTTCTGCAACTATCCCTCCTGATAGATAATTGAGCTGTCTAGCCAACATGATACGAAAAGAAATGAAAAAAAAAAAAAAATTGGAGAAGATCAGATCTCTTCCTAAAATAAATTTACCTCGTCATTTCTGCTGGATATTCCATCTGCAAACATTCCAAATCGTGATCTAAACCATGACCCACGAGAATCCTGGCTCTACCAAACCTAGGTCGAATCTTCCACATGGGTTCTCCATTGCAGAGGAAGTCTTGGATCTTCCTCTGCACTTGTCTCACAGCCATTGCATTTCGCAAGTATTCTGATCGAATACCTGTTGTCTCATACCTTTCAAGTGTCAATCATTGTTCCACAGGCTAGTTTGTTAGTGCATCAGATACATCCTGAATATATATGATTCAAATCTAGAAAATTACAACTTTAATTCGGTTTACCCCACCTGAAGTTTGTGACAGGAATTGAAGGCTTCACGTAGGAATAGAATATGATGTTTTCTTGTTCATCAATCATGCAGACTCTTGCACAGAGATCAAGTGAGCCATCACTGCCACCTCCGACCATTTTGCAAGCAAGTGCAACTACTTGTGGCCCTCTTCCAATACTCAAATTATCACGGATCCCCAGGTTTGAAAAACGATTAATTAGTCCCTGCAAGAGTTTTTTTTTTTTTTGCTGAAGTTAGTTATTATCCAATAAACTGAGCAAGGAAAGCAATTACAAATTCTGCGGTTGCAAAGTTAGAGACTTGGAGATCAGTACAGCATTTCCAGAAAGCTGACATCTCTCTTGGTGAATCCTTTGAGCATAAGGGCTGTCAAGGACCTTCAAGCAAAATCTGCATCCTCGGTTGCCAAAAATTTCTTTGCATTCCTGTTTTGGCAATGGACCTGGAATAGCATGTTTTTGGCTCGTTGTCTATATTCTCTTTTTTCAAAGAATTAAAGGAGGCCCTTTTGTTTTTGCCAAATAATTGAAGAAGTTTTTACCCATAAGGTGTTCCCTCAGAGACTCAAAGGACCTGCAGTGCTTCCTGCAAATGCCACAAGTGGGTTCGTGAGCCGAATGATGTGAGATCCTCATGTGCTCCACAAGGTGATCCATTCTGTTGAACTGTCTGAAGCAAGCTGCACACTTATTCCTGTCACGATATTAATGAATTGCTTTGTTAGTGCTTACAGTCATTTATATGGAACCAGTGTTCTTCTGTGTATGTGTATATCTTCGTGAGAGAGAGAGAGAGAGAGAGAGAGAACCTGTCGGTTTCTGCATGCTCTATTCTGCAGTCCATGCCTGGTTGCACCGAGTGATATATTTTCTTAATAATGGCCTGGAAAGCTTAGAGGGAAGTGAGGGGGAAAGGGAAGGAGGAATCATGTATTTATAAGGTTAGAAGTTAGAACAACCATGCAAGTTGCATAAGCAGACGATTGCCTTAGTCATTGCGTTATTACGTTTGGGTGTTGAACCATATCCCCTTTTTTTTCACCACGTAGAGTTTGAAGCTCGCTTTGAACATTCCTAATGATCTATGCATATTTGTGGATATATGCTAAAGCGTACATGTGGTCCTTTCTTCAGTCAGAATCTGACCTGGGGCATCAAATGGCTTTCGGCCTTTTTAATATATATTAAGAATTTGCATGAGACAGGAAGAGAATATGAATGAGAGAAAATTATGGAAAAAAATAAAATAAAAAAGACAAAATTAAGGATCAGTTTAGTTGTTAAAGAGGAATGGAATAGAATGAAATGAAAAAATAAAAGTAAAATAAAATGATTAAAATATGAAGAAAATGAATGAACCATATTTATAAAAAAAAGGAGTAATTTAATTCATAAGGTTGAGAATTATAATTAACACATTTGTGATATATATTTTTAAGTTTTATTATACTTATAATCATGAGAGAGAAGAGTGACTTAATTTATTTATTTTTATTTTTTCAATCCATCCAATTTTCATTTTTCTAGCAACCAAACGAAATGTAAAGTAAAAATTTCAGGTTGGGATGGATGATATCTTTTATTTCAAATTTCCAATTTTCCCCATTTTTTTTATTTTAAACGGAAGGTGAGTTTTAATTTCAGTGGATTAGAATAAGATGCATTCTTTAATCACTCTTTTAAGCTGTAAACTGTGCGTGGTTCTAAGTATCTGGTTATCACTTCACATCTCGGGATTATTGATGTAATTCCTTCAAGTCCGAAGGGGCTAAAGCAATTATGTTATGATCATTAATATTGCAGTAGTTATATACTCCCTCATGTTCAAAAGAAAGGAAGCTCTCAATTACTCGCCAACTATTAAAAAAGTAATTATTAAAACTTTTTGCATTAATGGTAAAAAATTTACTACTTTTTAAAATTATAAAATCAACGTATTTTAATTACTTTAATTTTAATTTCATTTCCATTCAGTTTTTCTTTACAATACAATTAGTAAGAAAATTTATTATAAACAAATTTAATATTGATATTGTTGACTTTTTATCTGGTATCTTGCATTTTGAATCAATGCCAACAGATAACAAATATTTTATATTTTAAACGGAAAGGAATACAGAACCAACATAGCATCAAGCCTCTAACTTTGGCCCATGGATATAAAACGGAGATGAAATTTTTATAACATTGACATGTCAATTAACTCATTTAATTTTGTACTTGCATGTCAAATCAATGTTAATATAAAAATTTTAATTAAAATTTTTTTAAAAAAATTTATTTTTTTCCGTTAAAAAATATAAAGCATTTTTTAAAGAGTTGTATATTAAAAAATGTAAGGTATTTTTAATCTTTTGAGGTGTAATCATTATCTTTTTTAAAAAAATACCTTTATTGATAATGACTTTATATTTATTGTAAGATATTTAATAGGGATAAATATAAAAAGATAGAGTTAGTGTAAAAGTAAATACTTACTTTATTGAGGGGTGAGATTCAATTAAAAATATCTTATATTTTTAAATGAAGGGAGTATATAAAATTTGTGCATTTTACTAATCATTTAAAGAGTTTAGGTCAACCTTATTATTTTATTTGATGCAGATTTTTTAAAATTTTTGTTTATTAAAAATTTTCTTATCAGCATCAATTTAACATATAAGTATAAAATTAACGATGTTAATTGACATGTTAGTATTATTAACATTATTTAAATTAAGTCAGTGTTTATATGAAAACGTAGAGATAAATATCACAGATGAAAGAAATTATAAAAACTTAAAATATAAAAAATAAAATAAAAAATAATCTAACATTAAAATTTAAGTAAAGTGTAAGGATTAGAAAAAGTTTTTTTTTTTTCATTTCTATAATGGTTGAAATGGGTGGAATAGACTTTCCCAGTCAAATTCTTCTCCACGTGCTCCATTTTTACCCCTCCCTCTTTTGTTCGACGACGGCCGCCTGCCAGCCTTCATAGAGATTCTCACTATTTTTTTCAACCATGTTAGCTTCTCACCCAATCACCAGCGAGCTTCACATCCCATCACCTCCAGTAACGACTCACTTCATCGTCGGCGACTGCCCACCTTCGTCTAGTTCCAACAACAACCATCACCCACGGAGGAGGGGCCATGGATGGCGGAAATCAATGAGCAAGAGCCGATGCAGCCATTGAGGCCAAGATCAAGAAGGCGACAACTTTTGCCATTGTCTGAAAGAGAGCGATAAAAGCGGAAAATGAAGACGAAAGGCAGGATCCAGCTTCGGTGGAAGACGAAGGTTTGACCGATGGGAGAGAATACGGGTTTTCTTGGGGCATTTTGGTATTTTCATACAAAGTCAAACATATTTTTCAACTTCCAATTGATTTAGCTTCCATTTTCATCAAAACTAAATCCAGCCGAAGAGAGAAGTAAAAAGCAGACCAAAGCTAGTCACGTTGTTTGATGTTGCTTTTCTCGAACAAAGTCAATGGCCAGAAAATAATAACACGTGGAAGCATGCGCATGGGAACTTGCTTGAAGTTCAGATAAGAAGAATCCAAAACTAAAGCGGCACAGGAAAAGCAAACAGATCATGGACTGCGGCACTGGTGAGAAGACCGAGCAAGTTGCAGGTTAATTGGAAGAAAGAAGATGAGCGTGAAAGCAAGAAATGAAAGGGTTGACAAATGATAATACGGGGCGGCGGCGGCAACTTAATGAAGCTGAATGCGAACAAAAGTGTTTGGGAATGGGAGCTAAGAGGCATTTGATTCTGAGGGAGGCCCAGGGGGGTTGTCGTATATGGGAATTGAGGGGCATCTCTGAAAAGAGTTGCCAGGATTGGATCAGGAGTTGACTGGGAAACCCAAGGAATAAGAATGTTAGCGAACACCTTTTGACCGAGGGTGGGGCCATCATAGATTCCTCTGTCCTGCCCATCAAGCCTGCTATCCCAAAAATATATCGTTTTTTTTAGTTCATATTTTTTGTAACTTTTAGATAAAATTAAACGTATTAATAAAATTCATTAAATATATTTTATAATTTTATCTTTTTAAAATAAAAATATAATTTTTAAAAATATTTTTATTTAATATTTTATTTGTTAAGAAATATTAAAGAGATTAAATATATAACAAAATAATATTAAAAAAACATTAATAAAATAATATTTTTATTAAAACATCTTATATTTTAAAATGTTAAATTTTGTTTAAAGTATCCTACAATATTTAGGCTCTCCAAAAGAACATTTGCAAAGGTGCAGCATCTAATGAGTGATGATATCCTTGCCCTGCCCGCGTAGACACCTGTTCATAGCTGTGAATCTTGTCGGCAAAGCAATAATCACATAAAATCTTGATTAATCACGAAAAGATTGTAAAATGCTGATTCGTGAGTGTTAAAAAGCATAGACTAGAGAAGAATGCAGGATATTAAATGCAATATGTGTTTGTGTGAGTAGAACAGTAAAAGTAGGGTATTATATTCTTCTTAGATATCTGGCGGTGGACATGTGTGGCTGGCATCGTATCATTGGGAAACACTTCAAATTTTGAACTCTGACACGATTGCTTTTTAGTTCTTTCCTACCAGGTAGAGAAAAAGGGAGAGCGAATGGCAGAGAAAAATCAATGTTTTAAAGCCAAACAAATGGCTCATAATTCCGCCCATGAAATGCTTGTGATAACGGATCCTCCTAGAAAGTGTGATCATCTTCCTCCGCTTGAACTTAGTAGGGGTTTGTCTCCCTGATTCATTTGTACCCAGTGTTTGACTTTTTTTTTTTTTTTTCCTTTCTCTTCTAACCTTGGCTGGCTTTCTCAAAAAGAAAAAGAAAGAATTATAATTAAATTTTATATAAAAAATTAATTACTTTAAAATTTATTAACAACTGACTTTAAATTTTATAGTAATTAATTTTTTTTACAAAATTCAATGTAATTTTTTTTTTTAAAAAAAGCCAAACAAAACCCATAACTGAGCCTAGAACGTGTGCACGCACAGCCTCCTCACTGGATCATTTAAAAACAAGTTAATTGAACAAAAATACCTATAAATTTTCTTCTGGAGATACCTCGTAAGCTCATATCTTCAAATAAAGACGGTGTAAAAGTACTTATAATGTTAACAAAATAAGTATAAAAGTGGCTAAATCATTAAACTTGACTAACATTTATTGGCTAAAAATATGAAGCAAACATAAGTTACAAAAATATTCATAAATTTTTTATCTAAGGGCTTCTAATATTCTTAAGTCGACAATGATACATGAATAATCATTAACTTTATAAATTAGGTCATATAGCTAAGCTTAGACTTGGCCCTAATAACTTGGATTGTCAAGCTTATTCGAACCGACACGGATACTTGAATTTTAAAATATTATTTTATTAGTTAATTTTAATTTTTATCTTAAAAGTTAAAATTTTTTAATTTTTATATAATTTTATTTTTATTTTATTAACAATAAAAAAGAATTTGAGTATTTTGACTAAGCTCGTCCCGGTTTGAGCTTAACCTAGATTTGTTTGAGTTTATTTAGGTGGCTCGAATAAACTTAAAGTAAAGAAAAGATGCTAAACTCACAAACTTGGTATTAAGATTTTGTGGGCTCGTTCGGGTTAGCATCTCAGGCTTAACCCAAATTATTGAATTTAACTTTTCTCAATCTGTTAAAATAACTCAATGTTAACCATGAAGATCTAATAACTAAACTTAATAAATTAAAAAATGTTGGCTTATTTTGTAAAATTAATGAATATCTATGCATTATTATTGACTTTAAGATCCCATAAGCTCTCAGAGAAAAATTTATGGGTATTTTCACACATTATATTTATTTTTTTTAATAGTTGACATTAATATACGTTAGTCAAATTTAACAATTTGAGTATTTTTACACCCACTTCATTGATGTTATTAACACTCTTGCACCGTCCTTTATTTAAAGATATTAGATACCTCTGAAGAAAAAATTATGAGTATTTTTGCCCTTAAAAATAGAAAAAAGGTGTTAATATCTGAAAACATCTTTTAAAAAATATACTTCCAACATTTTCTCATTAAAAAAATAGAATAGAATTCCAATAAGAGAAATTTTTTTATAAACTTGATGCTTTACTTTATCCAATAAAATTGTATCAATTTAATTAATATAATTTTACTCCATCTGTTCAAAAATGTAAGAGATTTTTGAGGAGTTGGATGATAAAAAATATAAAACATTTTTAATATTTTAATGTGTGATCATTGCCTTTTTTAAAAAAATTATTTTTAATAAATAAATCACTTTATATTTATTTTAAAATGAAATAACTTATTAAATATGAGTAAATATAAAAAGTTAGTGTTACTTCAAAGACAAATAACTATTTTATTAAAAAGTAAAATTCAGATAAAATATTTTATATTTTTTAATGTAGGAAGTATGTATTATTACTTTCAATGGCTTTATTTTTGAAATCAAGTACTCATCTAATTTATTTGTCTCTCTATCATTATTAACAACAAGTTTAGTTTATATTTACAACTATCCGACATAATTTTATTAAAACAATATATTCCTTCCGTTTAAAAAATGTAAAACATTTTTAATCAAATTTCTCCCTCTAATAAAGTAATTACCTACTTTCAAACTAACCCTATCTTTTTATATTTACCCTTATTAAATATTTTATAATAAATATAAAGCCAATATCCATAGAGATGTTTAAAAAAAAAAAGCAATAATTATATTTTAAAAGATTAAAAATATTTTATATTTTTTAATATCTAACTTTTTAAAAAATATTTTATATTTTTAAATGAATGGAGTAAATGATAGGGTTCATATAAGAATTTATTTTCAAATTAAAACAAATCATTTGAAAATTGAAAGTAGAATCTGTAAACGAGTCCTCTCCTGACGCAAAATATTGGAAGTGGTTCCTATCGTCACCGATCTTCTCAATAGTTAAATGTTCCACGGTAAGAAACGATCACTTTTCAGACTGTCAACAATGTTACTTGTTCATGTTTCCCAAATCCCAAATGGTGAGATTCTCACGACAAGATATTTCTTAATTTTTATTGTCCCTGCGCTATTAAAAAAATATATACTTAATTTTATATATTTAATATATTTATTTTTACTTAAATTAAAATATATAAGTTTTTTATAAATTATTTATTTTATACATAAGTCTTGCAAAAAAAAAATAAAAAATAAAGTTCAGGCTACCTACGGATCAAATTTCATTCCACGCTTGCCAGTTTATCACCCCCTAACATGCGATCATTAATTTAAGAGAAAATATTATAATTTTTTTTGATTAATTCAGGCTATCTTTCATCATTTAACTTAATATAAAATTTTAGTTTGATCTTTTAATTTTATAAAGTATAAAGATTATAGGATTGAAAAGATACTCTATAAAATTAAAGGATTAAAATAAAATATTATATAAAGTTAAAAGACTAACTGCGAACATTAGCCTACATTTTAAGAAATTTGTCTTTTTAAGGGAGAGAAATAAGATTTAAAATATAAAATACAAAAAATAGAAACTTCACAAAAATTCATGAATTCCAACTTTAAAGATATAGCTGATGCCACTAAAAATCATCTCTCCTACCTTCACCACCTCTTTTTTTTTTTTTTTCTTTTAGCAAGAGATATTAGTAAGTAGTAATGATTGGATAAGTGTGACACCACATCTAGTCTTGGAGATCATTCGATATTTGAAAATATAAGAGATTTGATAAAAATAAGGTTTTGTTAATCATAATTGTCTCAACATTACCTTTTCCTCTTTATTTTACTTTATCTCTATGTGTCTAATGTTTGACAAATAAGGTCATGTAAATGAAGAGTATTTTTAAAAATTTATATTTTTATTTTTAAAAAAATAAGATTGAAATATGTATTTAATGAATTTTATTAATATATATAATTTTTTTTCAAAATATCTTCTCTAATGAACTAAGATAGAAAGAAAGAGCAACGGCTTTCGCTAATGTGCTTGTTCATTCGAGAACCTCATGCCCTAGGTACTACACGAGGAAGATCAGGCTCCGTTAAAACAAATGAGACCAAGAGTTGGTAAATGGTAGTTATGTCATTAAAATTTATCTTTTATTAGCTACCTTAGAGGCCTAGACTATTATATTATTAAGGAGTGCATAGAGTTTTTTTTTTTTTTTTGGTGGGGGAGGGAAGGGGACAGAGAACGCTTTGAGGCTGAAATTGTTGAAGTTAAATGCCATACAGTATTCATACAGAACAACATGCAAAACGTAGAAACATAGACAAAATTAGCGGGACAATCTGACATCACTGGGTGAAAAAAGGCACGCCCGACGTTTACTGGTTTTGGTGGTATCCTTGATTCATTATTAATTAATACTTAATATAAATATTATGATCCGCTGCTTCTTAAACATGGTAGTATAATATAACGACAAGCTCAATATTCTTGGTTTTTTTTTTTTTTGGGTGCTGCAGCGTCCCCCATATGACATTGAAATTGGAAACCTTTTGTTTCAATCTGTCAGGGGACTCCCCCACTCCTTTCTTCTCCGGGGAGGATTCTCTCCATTTTGTTAATTCCATTTCTCTCCACTTCTTCTATTTCAATCTCTCATATTATTTTATTAAATATTTTTTTAATTTTAGAATTAATAAATAATTGAGATGAGAAAAATGAAAAAAAATAAAGAGAAAAAAATGGAGAGACCCTCCTCCCTTTCTTCCACGGATCATTTCCGTAATCATGGTCCTCACACTGTGTGTTGGCCCACAGATATATGCAGCATGCATCAATAGCGCGCGCGCGCGCGTATGGAGTTTTGTTGCCCTTTAATTTCGCACTGGTCATCCAGAATTTTCTACATGGAATGCATCATCACATAATCAAATCATATTACTAGCAATAATACTGTACTTATTGAATTGTCTTACAGATTGCACTCCTTCAAATTAAATATGAAACCTCGCTTGGGTGTTTCCCATATCGGTGCAGCGCGCAAGCTGCTTCATAATATCTGAAGATAATTCTAATTAATAAATTAGTAATGTCCAGTGGGAATTGAGGGCTCCTCTTTACTTAACTGCTAGTATTATTTTTATGTTATTATTCTCTAGCTAGTAGAGAAATTAAACAGATCAATGTGATGCTTGAGCCTTTGAGATAATTTGCATGAGCTCGAGGTCTTGTTTAGCGGACTTCACTCGGAAGCAGAACTATATAGAGTCAAGGCACCAGCAGCGATAGTCAGACCTGGAGATTGCTAGCATTTGTTCAGGGGTCATTCTCTCCAGTTCTTTTGTCCTCCACGAAGCAAAGTTATTCTTATTTTGAGGCTCTGAGGCCCAAGCGTGTTCCTCTTTTTCGTGTACTTGTGATCTCATCCTCGCGTACAGCCTCATCGTTGCCACGCAATCCTCGTACGGATCCTGTATCCCGCTTTGGATGTCATACCTGCATATGTTTTCAATTACACCAGCTTCATTATCTTCAACAAAGACGCACAAATTTGACAACGGGGCATTTTTTTGGGGGGTTGACGTTAAAGACACTTGCCCAAGATATGTCTGTGCCAAATACTTCAGTGAGCTGCTCAGCTTGCTCGTCTTCATCAATGGAGGGTATTTTGCGGTGTCCCTGATGACATGAATCATTTGGTCGATAAGTCAATACTAAAACAATTATTAGAGCATCGGTCAAATAAATTTACCTGATCATTTCTGCCCGATATTCCACTTGCAAACTCTCCAGGTCATGATCTAACCCATGACCTACAAGAACCCTGGCTCTCCCGCACTTTGGTCGAATCTTCCACATGGGTTCTCCATTGCAGAGGAAGTCTTGAACCTTCCTCTGCACTTGCCTCGTCGTCATTGCATCCCTCAAGTATTCTGGTCGAATACCTGTTGTCTCATACCTGTCAAAGAGTCAGCGTCCTAGTTTAGCGCATCAGCTGTAAATATGACGATAAATTTCAAATCCAGGAAGCTTTAAATCCTTTATACTCAACCTGTAGTTTGTGACAGGAATTGGGGGCTTCACGTAAGAATGGAATATGATGTTTTCTTGCTCGTCAATTATGCAGACTCTTGCACAGAGATCAAGTGAGCCATCACTGCCGCCTCCTACCATTTTGCAAGCAAGTGCGACTACTCGAGGCCCAGTTCCAATAGTCAGATTATCACGAATCCCCAAGTTTGAAAAGCGTCCAATCAGTCCCTACAAATTAAAGGGGAAACATTTGCAGAAGATCAGTCAACATCAAGTCTTCGAGGAAGAATTATATCACAAATACTGCCGTTTCTAAGTGAGGGATTGGTACAGTATTTGCAGAAAGTTGGCATCTTTGTTGGTGAATCCTTCGAGCGTTAGGGCTGTCAAGGACCTTCAAGCAAAACTTGCATCCCCGGTTGGCAAAAATATCTCTGCATTCCTGTTTCGGCAATGGGCCTGGAATAGCAGATTTATGTGTAAGAATCTATACTTTTTCCGTGAAAGAAATAGTCTCTATAGCTTTGTTAGACAATACAATTGGAGAGGATTACCTATAAGGTGTTCCCTTAGAGATTCAAATGATCTGCAGTGTTTCCCGCAGATGCCACAAGTGGGTTCGTGAACCGAATGATATGAGATCCTCATGTGCTCCACTAAATGCTCCTTCTTGTTGAACTGCCTAAAGCATGCTGCACACTTGTTCCTGTCATAATCAATTCTTCGTTAGTGCTTATATATTGCACTTGATGATTTTCCTGATACGTGCTGACTCTTTGTATGTGTTGCGTAGCATGCCAAGTGCATTTCAGCACATTAGAGTGAGAGAACAAACCTTTGAGTTTCTGCGTACTCGATTCTGCTGTCCATGGTTGTCTGTTTACTTGCTGTGAAATCTATAATGCTCAAGGAACGGGGGGGAGATATCTCAATGGGAGGACTTGAGGTTAAAGAAAATAGTTAAGTGGTATTTATAAGAAGAGACAGACGGCAGAATCGCTCCAAGTTGCATATTTATTAACGATTCCTCTAGGCATTACACCGCATGCCGGATTTGTCCTTTTGTTCTTCTCTCTACCCCATTTTTTATTATACCTTTTCGCTTCCTTTTTCCTTCATAGTTGAGCTTGCATCACTAGTAGCTGGCTTTGAACATTCGTTGCGATCCATATTCCACATCATGGGGTCCATTCTTTCAACTAGAATATCTTCCCTCGCTGTTTTCTCTGACTTTTGCTACCCCTCGTCGCTTTACTTAATATGCATATTCATGGTTGCTGCCAAGTGTAAACTTTGTGCATGTCTCATCTGTGTGATAGCCAGGGTCGATTAAACTCTCGTTAATACAGATTGTAATTATCTAACTGCATCAAGAATCATGGTGACTTGATTAATTGTTTCGCACGTTCTCTTTTCCTGTTGTCCCAGGCGAGAATCTGATGACCTAGAAAATTATGCCCTCGCACATGGGGCTAGGGGCATTAGAATTACATGTGCCTCCCTAAAGCGTCACGGTATAATCAATGTTACATTTAGGAGTGCAGGATTAATAACATAGATAAATGAATCCAAAAGAAAGGAAGTCAAGTCAAAGTGTTGTTGGACAGGAACACTGCAAAGTTTTCTCAACCACCCATACAAAAATATATTACTAGAGCCTAAATTGAAATGCACAGCAAATGCATTGAAAGAGAGAGAGATTTCAAGAATGATAATGATTCATTATTTTTAGCTCCCAACTTAAGCTTCTATTTATAGGTTCAAGGACCTATCACCAGAAAAGGAAGACCTAATCAAACATTATTCTAGCTCTCATTACAGAGAAAATAATCTAATTGGGATTATTGCCATTAATACAAGGATAATTGCCCCATTAGTTACCAAATCAGGATATTAACACGATTTAATCTTGATTTGGGCCAGCTTATAATGACTTGAATATTTCCCACTTAGTGTCATAGCAGGGGTAATATTCCTACAAGGAGGAAGCCTTTCTTCCTGTGATGGCTTTTGACTTGGAGAAACGTCCAAACGTACATAATGTTAAAGCCATGACAAGATAATTGTGATTCTCTACCTTTCGACTTTATATTTAAATATGTTGACCAAGGAATTGTCAATGACCTTGACTCCACTCTCCTTTACTTGCATCAATAATCTTTCACTAGTAGCACGCACAACTAGTCAACTACGTACTGGAAATTCCAACAGCTTCGGATCAGAAGAATCGGAAAGGAAACAGACTGATCGATGTCCTGCAGAGAAGACAGAGCAACTTGGAGATTGAAAGTTGAAACTAAAGGTTTTGAAGGACGATGAAGATTAATGAACGGCGGGACGTTGGGGCACGATGCGTGGAGGGGGAGAGATACTTAATGTCAATAAGGTCTTTGCTTATCATATTCGTATTGTGGTGTGTGGGGGAGGCATCTATTTTTGTGTCCAAGCTTGCATAGTTAAAGTGCACCTCTCTCTCTTTCTCCTTGCTTGAGGGGTTGACTTGGAGAAAATGTCAGCAGGATCTTCTTTGGGCAATGGAGGTCCAGAGTCGAGAATAGATTCGTCGTCATTCATCCGATGGGAACCACGCCGAGAGAGAGATTAAAGTTGGCATCGGAAAGAATATCTTTTTGTTCATAATACCCAACTCTGTAGTTCTTCCTCTTCCCAGTGATATTCCTCTGCCCACTTTTGAAAGCCCTATTTCTACAACAAAGGCGTATGGTGAGGAGGAGGCACGTCTGGTGTAGTTCATGCTTTTTGGTATGTTGATGGAGTGATGAATAGGGTGAGGGTGGTAGAGTTGAATTTGATAGGTAGAGGTAAGAGTAGAACTGCACAAAAGACTAATAAAATAAGATTTTGGCTTAACCTAAAATCTGATTTCTTTTATGAAAAATATTGAACTAAGCAACTTTGTAGTTTGATCTTATTCAGGCGTAACTTACAATTAAATAGAACAAAACTAAATTTATAAGACTGTGAGATTGATCTTGATAATTCAATATATCTCTTTATTTATTTTCTTTTTTTTCCTCTATCAAAGGCAACTATTCATTTCAACTTGATAAATTCAATTAAAATAATAAAAATATTTATAATTATATAAAATTTGCCACAAAACAATATTGAAAGTTGCTCATAATAAATCTATAACAATATATAGTTAAAAACAATATTGAAAGTTGCTCATAATAAATCTATAACAATATTTAGTTAAAAAAAAAGGTGTTTCAATTACAATTCATAACAACATTCAACAAATTTCAATATGTTGAAACTAAATTATAACAAAAAGTTAACAACAAATTTCAAGAGAAGAGAGGTAGGAAATCAAGGAATGAAGTGAGATGCTACATTCAACAATATTTAAAAATAAAAACAATTATAATTATATTTAAAAAATTTTATAAAACTGAACGGGATCAAATAGTCTAAAAGCTTAGTCTTCTATTCAATCCAACTAAAAGATGAAATCTAATCTTGTTAGTCCTTTTGGTTCATCAAATCAATTTTTCCACAAAATTGAACCGGACTGAGTTTAGTTGGGTTGGATAGGACCAGTGGATTTTTGCAATGCTTAGGTGAGAGACGAGAAGAACAATATATTCTGACGGTAGCAAGAAGGTGATGGTCAAAAAGGGAATCCATTCATATGCATCCATGCTAGAAAGGTGGACGCCTGGGACCATGCTCCAGTGTTTTGACCCTCGCTGGTGTATTTTGGTGTGAAAAACATCATTCTATTTCGATCAAACTCGGAATGTATAATATTAATTATAACAAGCTACACCGGGGAATTATTGTCGATGTAAACGCATCCATCTACTAGTGGCCCCCCAACATACACATGTTCAAACGCTGTAGGAAAATGAGGGTTGGATTTTCTCTTTTATAAAAGAAAACAGATGAGAAATTAGTACAGATTTAGATGTTAAATTAAATTTAATTTTTTTTGAAAATATAGACTTAATTTGATCAATTTAAATTTACAGTGAAGGGAGAATAAAAAAAAACAAACGAAAGAAACTCACCTTACAAAACGAAGGCAAGTTTTAGTGTGTATTTGGATTAAAAAATTTATAACTGAGGTTAGAATTCAACTGAGGTTAGCAAACTGAAGTTAGAAGAAAAATCAGTTGATGTAACGTAATTTATGTTTGGATACCATTTTTTTTAAAAGTCAGTCAGATAAACTGAAATTCATTTGGATGGTTTAATTCAAAAGACAGTTAAGATGTTTAATGGCAAAAATAATCATGAATTTTTTATCTTAAATATTAAATCTTAAATAAGCATGTTTATATTTTTTTTGACTAACTAATAAATAAAAAATATTAAACTTAAAATCACAACTAATAAGTAAAATATCTTAAATATTCAACCATGAAAACCTAAAATAAATTAATATTTAATTAATATGATTTACAAATTGATCTTTAATTGTATCACGAACACGCTGCATCTGTCTCGATGATCTGGGTAGATTTGATGAGGATGCTTCACCAATATCAATATCTTCTTCCTGGACTTCTACACTTTCATCTTCAGCTTGTATGAACTGCTCGTCAGTAATTGAATTTCTCCTAATAAAATTATGTATTGCCATTGTTGCACAAACAATTTGAACTTGTGTTTTATATTTAAATTTTGACATTTTTCGTATAATTGCAAACCTATTCTTCCACACTCCAAAAGTTCTTCCTATAGTGCATCTTAGACTTGAATGATAATAATTGAAGACCTCATTATTGTTTGCAAATCCTGTAATTCGCCTAAAGTCTGAAAGGTGATAACGTTCGCAACGATATGGACCAAGATACCTATTTAGTGTTGGATAATTAGAATCAACCAAATAATATTTACCTATTAAATGAAAGGAAGTGATGTAAATTTGACCAACATTAAATCAATGTAATAATAATTATAGTGACTTTAATAAAATATACCTGGAGGTGGATGCGGAAAATGCATTGAAGGAGTTGATATGGCATTATCAAATACTTGAGTATCATAAGCCGTACCTTCCCATCCCGCAATGACAAAAGTAAAACGCATGTCCTAATCACATACAGCCATAACATTCTGTGTTGCATATCTCTTTTTTCTAACAAATTTGATTTGATCAGCAACACTAACCACGCATGGCACATGAGTGCCATCAATTACTCCTATAGCATCCTTAAAGAATGGCCAATACCATGGATCATTTTAAATTTTTGAATGACATCATTGAGACAAAGGATCGAATGGCTTTATGTTTGCCTTAGAAATGTTAAGGCAGGCGGCTAATACTTTATAAAAATTTCTATGGACAGTTTCCCCTGAATGCTAAAATCATTTCTGTATCATCCTATTACCAACTTCATGTCCAACTGTATTTAAAAAAATTCCAACCATTTCTTTAACTCCTATTTTTTAGACTTCTTTAGACCAAGATCAACTAGTGTCGCACACAGTTGCCTAAACAAATATTTTTTCATTCAAAACATTTCATAATAACGATCAGGATGACCTTGTAAAATCTCATTGACCCACATTTATCCTGTTTGCATGCTAGTTCTCCATAGCTCTTTACACACATATGGCATCAAATATTCACTAATTAATTGACATATTTCTTCTTGCTCCGTTATATCTTGCTGTAACAAGGGAAGTAGTTGATGAGCCACATCTACATCCCAACCTTCATTCCAACCTAACATATATTCATTCGAATCTTCCATGATTTTTAAACCTGAGGTAAAATAGTATGTAAATATCATTTGTATATAATATAAAGTACATAGTATATAAATATCATTCAACAACATAAAAGATAAAGCATAAGATAAGCATTAGATAAGAGTTAAATATTCACTACAAACCAAGTCATCATTCGCAAACTACAAGTCAAAATAAAGCAACTACAAGTCAAACACAAGTCAAGTCATTATAAGCCTAGATAAAAATTCATCTAGATGTATTTTTTAAAATTCAATCTAGTAGATGGTAGACTTGGTGCTTCAACCAATTGACCAAGTGATCAGGATGATCTTTAAGTTGCCAGTAAGCATCTCACATAGGCTTGTACAGAACAAGATTGACACATCTCTAATGTAAATCTTTATCACCAAAACCTTCTAGGAGTCCATTTAGGTGAGCCACAACCTTAGAAACTCTTATGTCATATTGTCATTTGCTAAAATCTTGTTCACTGTCTCTGTTTTTGCTCTATTATCCTTAGCTATTTCACTCATCGCATTTGCTATTTTCATTGAGGCAGCAACTTTTTGCTTTTTCCTCCCACCAATGCCTACAACCCTATTTCTCTTGCCTTGACTTTTGTCACCACTGGTTCTACCAATATTTGTGTGACATTCAAGCCCAACAGCTCATCGATGACACCCGTAGGTGCTGCGGTGTCAAATAAATTTAGCTCCTCTTCACTATCATCGGAGCCTTCTCAAAGGTCAATAGTGAGGCAGTACACATCCTTATCATTGTCATCCTCTATTTGGGTCTGGGTAACAAATGGTATAAAAAGTATCTCCCCAATTGCCAGGACATCCTTGAATATCAAAGTTAATTCCCTTACAAATCTCAAACCTCTATATCTAAATTTTTCATAAAGGGAATTTTCATGTAACCATTCAAATAACCAACAATTAAAATTCTCAAATTAAATTCTAATCTTAAAAACACTTAACAACTAATCCATACCAAGATTTTTTGCTCCCACCACTTATCTGAGCATCAACAGTATTCTTGTCACTGTCCTATCATAAGCCGGTTTCACTTGAAAACAACTTATGCTATACGTTCTATTCTTTCCTCATGTTATCTCGCTTATTTTTCAATTGCTTTCACTCATACCTTTTTCCTATTTTTCCCTTAAACCCCTCAATTATTGCCTGCCACCCATTTTTATTGAAAGTAGTTCCCTTTCTTTGTTTCTTGTACATTTGCTCCAAGCATTCCTTAATAAAAATTTCTGTCAAGGTTGAATTCCACACAGTTTTTCCTTTGTTGCTATTCATTATTCTATAGATTAGTCAACCATCACAAACATGCAAAATTAATAAATATCTCTACATATATGTATCCTTGAAAATGAATAGGGGATTGGAATCAGATCTCAAGCTTTCAAGAATATTAGCTATGGTTATCTCTCTTAATAGACTCAACTAACTCCTAATTTCTCTTATCCTATCAGACTGATATTAAGAAACAGATTTTGGAATCATTAAACTTTAAAAGAATAAATTAAGAAAATAAATATCTAATTAGTATATTAAAAATATGACATGCATGTGTTTTTCAGGAAGCTATTTTCCAGGAAAATAAATATAAATTGTAAAGCTCCACCACATGGTCTCGTTGTCTCAATCTCAAGGAAATAGTCCAAATTGACATAAACATATTAATATTAAGGAACGAAGGGGTGTAGTTTTATTATGTGAACTTAAGGCGAGAAGCAATTTGTACACTAAATTTTTTTCCCTTTTATCTTTGCAATCCCAACCATTTATTTGTTGATAATGTATAGATTTTTAGGATTGTAAAATAACCATGGATGATCTGAATATTCTCAAAATTTTCTAAATCCATGTTAGAAAGTTATGCCTTTATCCCTTCTATCAAAGCAAGAGAAATCTATGTTAGATAGCTATTTTTGTACAGCACTATAGAAGAATCAATTCGCACAGCATGCATGCATTTTTCAGGAAGCTGTTTTCACCTTTTCAAGAATATCATGAGGCTTTCAACTCACTGAAAAATAAAATGAACAAGGAATGAATGAATAAGGGATTGCTTTCAGATTTCAAGCTTTCATATTCGTCTAACAGCATTATAAATAACAGTAACTTCAGTTCCAGAAGATCAGCCGTAAAAACCAACATTATCAGTCTTTCATTACATGCACACATGCAGAGCACGACAGATCAAGAAAATAAAAAACAGCAACTCGAGTTCCAGAAAAAAAATGACAGCTCTTCCTCTGCTCTAAGATAAACAAAATAAGGGATGGAAAATAAAGAGGAGACCAAGCACAAATCATTTCTGGAACAGTAGAGGACTACAGGCCATGAAAACAAAGACCAATAACTCGAGTTCCAGAAAAAAAAAGCCAGGTCTTCCTCTGCTCTAACGTAAACAAAACAGGGGATGGAACGTAAAGAGGATAACAAGCATTATCAGTTCTGGAACAGTAGAGCACGACAAGTCTAAGTAAAAATAGTCTTTAAAGAACAAAGAGCAAAGCACAACAGGAAGGAAGTAAAGAAGGAGATGAAAAAAGAATGACATTACTTGACAGAGACAAGCGATGGAGAGCAAACCCGGCAACAGGAAGTGTAGATTCGATGGACACAGTGAAGATCGAGAGGCGACAAGAAGAAGAAGCACTCCGGAGCAAGGACACAGTGGACGCTAGAAAGGACGACAGTGAGCTGGAGATCGATCAGATGCAGATGACTGGAGCTGGAGATCGGCCAGAGGGAGCAAATGACTAACGGAAGGAGGCAGATCTGAGGTGTATAGAGCTTTATGCGAGATCTATGTGTGTTTTAGAGCAGATGGAAAGATCACGAGAATAAAAGCAACACACATAGGAAGCTAAGCACAGCTCGATTAGATAGGAGATAAGAGAGAGAATGCATCAGAATTTAAAATGTATTTTATTACTTTTAACAGGTACTAACGTGAACGCGCAGAAGAAAAAGCCAGGGCAGAGAGCTTCTAACTCAATGCACGTTTTCATGCCAACTGAAGTTTAAAAATTTTATTAATCCAAATAAGATAATTTTATCATTTTATCTCTTAACCTCAATTTTTTTCATTCTAACTGAGGTTATAATGGAATTCAAACATTCTCTTAATTTCAAAACATTAATAAGACCCGGCCCCATCTCTCTCTCACCCAGACTCACATATGCATGCACGCTTTACGGCTCCAGTACTGTTATTATTTACCACCACTACTACCGAGGATAGTATTCACTATAGCTATCAACTGTAGCTTAGTGTGTGTTAACTGTTAAGTTTCCAAGCCGTAAAAATACATTCTCCGAACTGAATTTTAAGAAAAATTTTAATCTAGATATCTTGGCCAAACATAATTAAAAAAAAAAGAATCTCTTAAAATCTGAAATTTTACTGTAAATCAAAGGTAGTAAAATAAAATTAAAATACAGACTGGTAGGAAATGCTTACAAATTCCTCATATTCAAATAGTTAATTTTTCTATCACAATTGCTTATGTGTATAATTTTATTTAACTTTATTTTTAGTGCTGTTATCATAGTAAATAGAATTACAAATTTCTCATACTGTAGTTATTCATTGTTTTTACAGAAATGGTTATAAGATGTACAATTTTAAGTAATTAGATAAGTTTGTTCTTATTGTCTTGAAAGAGAAAAGATATATTAGTTGTGTGTTTTACCTGTTAATATTAATTATGATATTATTAAGGGTAACATTAAAAAATTATTACAATTTCATGTGCTTTTAACTAAATAAAAAATCTTAATTAATATATGAGATTTAATTAAGAACGCGTAATATACTAACATAGGGATGGAGGGAGTAATCAATATTACAAACTTGAATAAAATATATGAACACGCGGTGATTATAAAACTATCCGTTATAACTAGCCATTGATTAGGAGCAAACGAGGAAAAACAATTTGTTTTGAGATATGAAAACATTTACCAATATATGCATCTAGTTTCATCATTAGATAATGGAAAGAGTGCCGGGTATCAACGTGGCGTTATTGATGAATGAAATTAAGATGCATGGAAGACTAAGAAGAAAGGGATGTGTGTGAGTGTGTGGGGCAGCGTATGGTAGCAGGCAGAAGTACGCAATGAAAGATAAGTGATAGCGATGCAAAAAATTTTGGGATCCTTATGGACTGCTCAGCTTGTTTGGAAACAGCCATATGAAGACTGTTTCTCGAAGAAAGTCAAGCTGCGAAACGAGATGAAGACGAATGCGAGGATCTCAACGACGACATAGAGCCTGACGTTTCCTTCGTCTCCTCTGATGATGAAGACCATGTCTCGGCTCCTCTGTCTCCAGGTCTTGCTACTAAACGCAAGCGACCACCGAAGTTTTGATGCCAGAGGTGGCTGTTCATCAAGAGGTGAAGGCTCCTTCATTTAAGGCACCGAGGAGGAAGGCGACATAAAGCTTGGGAAGGATTGGTGTCACCATCGACGAGAACGATGGCATTCCCATGACTACCTTTTCATCTCAACTGCTGAAAGTTTTAAACAAGAGAATGAGTCACTCAGTGGTGATTAAACTACTTAGGACGCAACTTCAATTAATTTCGCGACCTCTTCGGCAGTTTCAGCTAAACGATTTGGATGTTTAATGTTTCCTGGCTTAGTTCAATCATGAAGATGACTTTCAGAGAGTTTAACTATTGCCTCCTGGGTTATAAATGGCCATTATCTGACTGTTCAACCTTGGACTCCTTTTAAGCCTCAGGAGCATTTGTTTAACCATGTGATAGGATGGGTTCGTCTTCCAGTCTGCCTGCTAGATACTACCACAGGAGCATCATTCGCTCTATCGATGGTGTCTTTGGCAATGTCTTAAAAGTTGATCATAGTACTGATCGTAAGTTCGCAAGGCTCGCAGTATCCATTGATCTAACAAAACCCCTTATCTCAAAGATTAAAGTTGAATTAATTAGTTATATTTGAAATTCATTTGATTGTATTTTCAATTTATATAAAATGAAACAGACACCGTCATCCAAACTCTTGAAGAAAGAAATATATATGTATGTATGTATGTATGTATATCTTTCATCTGTGCCATAAGAAGGAGACAGTGACACGATCTTTTCAATCCAAAATTACATCGGCTTTTCTTAAAAGAACATAAATAACAACATGTTCCTGCTTGAAGTTGTGAATTTTTCAAACTCCTGCAACTCTCAACTCCTGGTTTGTAGAATAATATATAATGCTCTTGGCTTGAATTATAGTGAGAGTCAGAAGCACGCCTTCTGGATTGGTACTGGAGGGTCAGAGAAGGAACCACTGAGTATTCGTTTAGAAACCCAGAGGTTTGCTGCTTGAGAGTAGTGTATGCCGTCCCAGCTAACATGTTGAGATGGATTCTTGCAAGGATTCCCATAAACAGTTCCATTTACTGTGACTTGCGTCCCACAGTTAACGTGGTAGCCATAATAACTTCCACAACAGAACAACAATGGACTCACAAAACCTGCCACCAAGCAAACTATACAAGTTAGGTTCTGCACTTTGCTATCAGTCTACTTCAAATGTGTTGGTTTGGGGTCAAAACTTGAGGATCACCTTGTTTCTTGGCATCGCTGATTAGTTGGTACTTGGCTGAATACACATCAATGTATGTAAATTTGGCGAGAGGGAGATTTCTCTTCAGCACAAGCACTTGTTCCTTAAGCTGTCTGTTATATTCCTGAGCGATCTCATTATGGGGTTTGACACACCCATTCGCATCCAGGTTACCCTGCTTTGACTTGTAATATATGTAACTGTAAGGCAAGCACCCAATTGGGCCTGTGTTGTGTATCCAGAAGATTCTAGCCCCTTCATTGTACAATTGCTAAAACATCAAACATTACTAGTTTAATTCTTGGAACAGAGTCACCATCCAATTGATTGTTCTAATATTTGCTAATGTTGATTACCTGCACTGCCTGGTTGAAGATTTCTAAGATATTAGGAATTGATGATCGAACTTGCTCCTCTGAAGTGTGTTGAAAACCATAGCTAAGATCGTTTTGTCCAATATCAAAGGTGTATAGGGCTTTAGAGAATTCGTCAGGTCTTGGAAGACTGCTTTGAAAAAGTTCTGTCCCTGGAATATTGCAGTTTTGTGTGTCATTGTCAAAAACAACTTTAGTCCAATCCAAAGGGAATAATATTCCAGTCGGAAGCTTTCCTAGGTTCTAATGATGCTTCGAGATATCTACAGCTTGCATATGTTTCTAGTGCACCATCAAAACCAAAAATACAAAAGAGAAGAAGAAAACTCACTGTTGCCTGAAAGTTGATTGTACAGAACATTGGTGCGATACTTGAATTGCTTGAATTGAGATATCTGAAGCCCCAAATCAAATGGACTATATCCTCCAGGACGAATCGATGAACCTCCTACTGCAAAGTTAGCACCGTGCCGGTAATTTGACCCAAGTGAGTTCAAATACGCACTCAAGTATGGCAGCTTCAGTTCTTCAGCTGCGTAGGTTCGTTAACGAAACACGGATAAGAAATATATCTATAGTTGATCTATATCATAAAAGAGGCCAGAACGACCCATTAAAGAAAGGAGGAGGGAAAAAAAAGCTGAATCAAGAGTGTTTGGAGAAACAGAGCACGCTCTGCTTTGCCGCTTACTAAGAAAATCCAGAATAAGTCGACCATCGCAAGCCCTTCCTGATAGACTTCCGAAGAAGCTTTCGCCATTAGGAGGATGAACCGCCGTAAATGCTGCAGATCCGGCTCCAGTGTCGGAATTTGAGTCCCCAAAGTTGTAAATTGCCGGAAACCAGCAAGTTTCAGAGCCATAATTACCACCCCAGACTCCACTAACCAATCCCAGAACTAAACACCCAATTACATGAATGTGCTTGCTAGAGTTCATGATCGTTTTCTTCCTCCTACGAAACGGTGGATCACCGAATGGGTTTATACAAGTAAAACTCGGAACTCCAATTAAAAAAGGGTAAGATTCTTTGACGAGCATTAGTGATGCAGCAAAGGTTAATAACTCAACCCACTACGTCAAATTGGTTTTACTTGAAGGAAAAGGCAAACATACTGATACTATGGCTATGCATCAAACTTCCTTTATATATATATATATATATTCTTTCTTAACAAGTTCAACCATTTCGGTGACATCGGATATTAAAAATTGCTTCTCTATATTTTGATTTCGGTATAGAAAATTGTACATACAGATAATCAGCATTATATGAATGATGACAGAAAACTTGTACAGAAAGTTAAAACGAACGGCGAACAGTCTGTCAAGAATTCATTACGTATGGGGTCTACTTTCTTTGTTGGAATTGGAAAGATATATTTTTGCGTGCACAGGAGACAAAAGAAAGCAATAGTCATTGGTGATACGAGCCAACGTGGGAGGAGCAGCTAGCAAGGATACTAGACTAGAAAAGAATAAATTATTAATGTAAACCTAGACAAAAGGGAATTTAATTTAAGCTTGGAACAAAATCTGCCACGATCAGCTTTCCTTTATTAACACATTGTTTAGTTAATGACATATAAGCGGAAATTCTACTGGGCAATAGGCGCTCGTGTAATAAAACAACGTCTAATACGAATTGGATGCATTTGGAGAAAATTTATCCCCTTGTTCATTCGATCCCTTCCATAATGGCTCCTATAGTTCATTGGTTTTAACAAATTTTGGAATTGGAATTCTTCTGCAAAGGATGGCTTAGCGTTTAGGTTTGAATGAATTACATGAAAATCATTTCTCCGCGTAAGGCGGCTATTTTGTTTTGTTTTGTTTTTTTTTTGGTGAGTGAGAAGTAATAGTGAGCAAAAATGGTAGTCATTGGTTGTAGCATAACGCAAAGACTCGTAACTCGTTTTACTAGCAATGGCATCATACTCAGTCCCCTGCAGTTAATTCAAGAGCATTTTTCAATGGATGAAGCTCCTCTTCCCAGTTGCTTTCATAACTAATAATTTACTTGTCTACACTTGCTGACTATAGATGATTTCGTTGCATTAAGCTAACAGGAAAATCCCCAAAGTAATCCCTAATCATTTGAAAGTCACTGGTTCATACATTTTATTCTAGTTCTACTGCTTGCTCAAACTCACAGCTCATTAGAGTGAAGGGCAAGCATTCCATTATTAGCAACAGCGACCTAGATTGCAATCCGCAAATTTGCTGCAAAGGCTGCTATGCCCGTTAATCTTCTAACGTGTTGGATGAAAATGCTCACTTCAGCATATCATGGTGAAGTATGACAGCTGCACACAGCATACCCTTTTTTCAGCTCTCTAATTTCAGAAACATTCACTATTGTCCATGGTTAGCCTTCAAATGGTGACGGTAATCTTGTCTGATTGCTATTTCATGTATCCTGGACGTCAAAGCTATCTTAAAGTATTCTGCAGAAGCAGCATTATAAAGCAATTAGATTGATGATAGTATATCAGCATCAAAATAAAAATGTACAGAAAAGATCTTAAGAGCATCTTAATCACCAAGTGTTTGACAAACAAGGCACATCCAGCCAGCAAATACTCTGAAAAATTGTGTCCGACTCAACAAAATATGTCAGTTGGGTAGGAGGTTGTGGAATGATCCTGAAATGACACTTCTAGTTCTGGGCCAAAACCAGGATAATGAACACCCAAGAAGATGATTGAAGATATGCAGTGACTTAAAAATCTTTCGAAGTAATGTGAAATTATGCCTAAAATCTGAATGTTACAACAGGCTGATAGGATTCACATTAAATGCAGGATCAAAGGGTGACTTGATTAGCAACTACTTGACCAATAAGTTAAATGCTGTAAATCAAGGGCCCAAACTGTGTGGATCACTATCATTGAATTACCCCTCATGAAAATACTTCTTTCTTGATCTATTTTTAAACGATGTATCGGAATATACAAAGAAAAAAATTAGTACGCTGAAAGAAGGGGAAAGGGAAGACATCCTGACATCCTGGATCTTAACTATTGAGTTTCAACGAAGGGTACAAAAATGCGAGTTCTGGGAAATTTGAATGTAGCAAAAGTTTTAAACCTTTTTGGTATTGATCCTGCTTAATTTTAATTAGAGTTTCCCATACATAATAATAGATATTGACGTCTCAGCACAGGCACAGCTCTACTTACTGATACATGGACTGATTGTGTAGTTGCAGAGAACTCCACGACCTCTTTACAAGTGAACTTGGGAAAATAATAGTTGGTAGTCTCTCACTTTCTTCTAGATGAGGAAAATCAGTTGTGTAATGCAGCCCACGGCTCTCATGCCTGGAAAGGGCACTGCTGACCACCAGTTGAGCACAACAAAAAAGGTTTCTCATTTCACAAATCTCAGGCCCCACCATAGTTGGCTTCCAACCATGCTGAAATAAGAAATCCGCCCATTTAGCTTCTAATTCAGCAATTTTTTGCTTTGCCGTTTCTAGTCTCATGGTGGACCGAATAATTCCTACATGATTCCACATAATAGATTGCAGTTCTCTCCTCACTTTCCATGTCATCGCTGATATTTTGTTAATGACATTACTTCCGAGTGACATAGGCACAGTGGGTCTAGGCCACAAATTTGAAGCAGTCAGATCAACAGGCACAGTGGAGCTCTTCATGCAATCAACAGATGGCTGTACAGCTCTACGAGCAAAAACTAGTGCCTCAAGCAATGAATTGCTAGCAAGTCTATTGGCTCCATGCAGGCCGGTGCATGCTACCTCACCAGCCACATACAGACCTCGTACATTTGTCTCCCCTTGGAGCCCAGCCCGTACTCCACCACACATATAATGAGCAGCTGGAACCACTGGGATTGGATATCGAGTTATGTCCAAGCCATATAGGAGACACACGGAAGCAATGTTGGGAAAATGGGAGAGGATTTCCTCCTTGGGCTTGTGACTAATGTCAAGGAGCACATACATTTCATCACGCTTTTTAAGCTGATCATCTATACTTCTTGCAACCACATCCCTGGGGGCAAGCTCTGCTCTCTCATCATACAAGGGCATGAACCTTTCCATGCCTAAATTATACAGGATAGCCCCATGGCCCCTGACAGCTTCAGAGATCAGAAATGCATTTTCCCGAGGGTTGGTTGGTTTGAGAGGAAGCCCTTCATCAGCCAAGGCAGTAGGGTGAAATTGTACAAACCTGAGCCAATCATAAAGAGAAACTACAATATCAAAATACTAGACACAAGTCCTCACCCACATGCACACAGGGATGAAGTATGTAAGCTTAGAATAAAATAATGTATACTTCATAGCATATTCACATGTTAAATTGCTGCTCCACTTTACCGGGCAAAAAATACTTTGTCAGGATTCACAGAAAGAAAAGAGTCCTCTGTAAAGGATAATTAGTCCAAGACATTCTTTAATTGATCTTCTGCATTTGAAAGAAACTAAGTCGTTGGTGCAATTGTGCATTGAAATGCATTTAATTCTATACCTTCTAAAGTACAGAAAGATTTGTCACAGTGGTACAGTATTCGTGATCAGTTTTACTATTTGTTAATTATGACTGGGCTGACAATCACAAAATAGTAAAAAGATAAACATTCACATTTCTGAAAATGCTCTACTTACTCCATGTTGGAAATCACAGCTTGAGCTCGGTGTGCCATTGCCATCCCGTCTCCTGTGGCTACCTGTAACAATCACTAAGGGAGTCAGATTAAGATGCAACTAAGACTAGCCACAAACTGTAGCATGATCGGTCTGAATATGATCAAGATACAAAGAATGAAATCATCAATTCAACGTACAATGGTCCATCAAAGCATCAAGACAGAAGAAAAGATATTCACTACACGGCTTATATTTTAACCGTAAGTAAATTGGATTAGTTATTTGATTTTAAATTTTACTTTAATCAACTGCACTACTTAATTCATTTGGTGCATTGGTTATGACTGAAAAAATAACTATTATAATCAGGCGTTTTAATTTTCAAGATGCTGATTCTTTAAAATAATATTATGATTCCTAAAAGATTTCCAGACGTTGTAACAATTTGCATTGTAGAGAGTCATGCAAGAATCAAGGTAGTGGATTCTTCCTAAAAATATTCGGGCATTGGGAGAAAGAGGACTACCAGGGGATTTGTAGTTGTAGGATAAATATGTCCAGCCCCACCAGATGCAAGTAAAGTCACCTTTGAAATGAATCTTACCACCTAAAAGCTAAAAAGGTGAAAGTTTTAAAAATTGGAACTAAAGCAGGCAAACAGATTGCCATCAAAGAAATACATATAACACAGTTTTTCCCACCTGTAACGTTTCAGTATTTAAAGTGTCAAAACCAAGGCAAACTATATCAGATCCATCCTGCAACATCAGCGATGTGTTTTTGTGAGTGAATGCATCCAGCAATTCAAATACTCGGGCATCAAATTTGGATACTCAAAATTGCAGAAGAGCAAAACCAAAAAGAACTTATAAACTTCCAATAATTTCACATATGCAGGCTACAAGAACACTAAACATGCCATGTAAGTTTACAGTAGGGGAAAATATCCACACAGAGACCCAAACCTGGCAAGTGAGCAAATCTATAGCAAAGTGGTGTTTGAAGACAAAAATATTAGGATCACCGATAACTTTCTTCAGTAAAGCCCGTTCAATCTCTTTTCCAGTCATATCAGCAGCATGAACAACTCTACAATGCGAATGACCTCCTTCCCTTGCTAGATGCAAGTTGCCATCTTCCCCATGATCAAATGATGCGCCCATGGCAATCAGTTCTCGAACTCTATCAGGTCCTTCAGTACAGACAACCTAAAAGATAGAGTCAAAGTGCACAAAAAGCTGAATAAATTGGTGAAAGAAATCAGCAATTTTACTATTATCCGAAAGCGCACGAGCAACACTTGCATATTTGAACGATACCCTCAATAAGACTGGAAAAAGAATGCTTCTTGATTCAAGAAATTTGGGATTCACTATCTTTTAGTATTTAGGTCTAATGTTACAGGGCAGAAGTCAGAGTTTAGGAATGAATTACACAAGGTAAAGTTTATGACTCTAGAGCATACTCTGACGGTCTCCTCATCACAAAGATAAGCCCCAGCCACTATGGTATCCTCCATGTGACTCTCCACTGAATCTGAAGGGCATAGGACAGCACTAACACCACCTTGAGCATAATTCGTGTTGCATTCATGAGGTTCAGCCTTTGTGACCACTGCCACAGAACCATGTTTTGCAACTTCAAGTGCATAGCGGAGGCCAGCAATTCCACTTCCAATTACAGCAAAGTCAAAATACTTAGTGGAACCATCTTTCTTGTAGGAGGAGATGGCTGATCTGAGAGGTTTCCAATTCTTATAACGTGGAGATACAGCAAGTTTACATCGGTTTTTCCACAGGACACTGTGTGCTCCTTTTGACCTGTAATTTTAAGACATGGAAACAATTGAAAATCATTGACTCGGTAAAGGAGTATGATCATAAAATTGTAGAGCAAAGTTCCATTTACAAAGTTTCAGATCATGCTGCCCGAAGTTATTTCAAATACTTCATTGTAAAACTATAATTTGACCATGCGTTTATAGACACCCTTGAAACAAACAATTCAGATTCATATGGACTGTCTAGCTGCAAAACCATGATAATTAACCTAAATCATCGTTATTCCTGGATCAACATCTTCACTACATACCAAGGGAGCTCCTTTTGCAAATAGCTCTTGATAGGTGCATCAGAGACCGTACAAGTCCTTCTACAATTTTTCCCCTTGAAGTCTGTGAATATGTAATTTAGTTGGGCACTCCCGCCGGCTATACTAGTTGTCATTGCAACGCTTCTGTTAAAAACATTATTTAAAAAAAGGCATAAGATAACAAAAAACTTAAATCTTTCTAGCAACAAACTTCGTTTGCATTCTGTGTTTTGTCTGCAATTAATCAATCATAGGAGCAGGCTGTTACTATGTCCAAGTTCTGAGTTAAGCACATACAAACTTTTACCTATAAATCAGCGTTTTATGATTAAGAATATGTGCATAATAGTTTAAAAACAAATTTAAAATCCCTCCCTTTCCCTTCCCAGGTGGGAGAGATGGAAGAAGAAATAAGTAACGAACAAAATTCAATCATTTACCCGGATACTAAGGCCTGCTCAAATTTCAGAGGCAATACAGAACAAGGAAAAGCCGTTCAAGCAAATAAGATATAAAGTAAGAAAGAAGCCGGAATATATTGGAGAAGTTAAAAGTTGGATACAGCTGAATTATTCTCCGACGAAGCACACGGATCGTCAGAGCAGAGAGAGTCATTCATAATAATGATCGTTTTTTATTCCCAATACCCCCACTCAGTATAACCACAATCAGGGAATCGAACAAAGGAATGCAAAAAGCTTAGGATGTTACCCACCAAAAGTTTCAAAAACAAAAAATACACCGACTTTCAATTTGCAGAGACCCGCGACGAAGAGTGACGAAACCAGTGAAACGTGAACCCGGGCCGCGTAGCTTCGCAGAAAATGAATCTTAACCGACGAAGAAAAAAGATAAAAATATTCCACGAGTCAGTCGTCGCAAAAATAAAATATGAATTGGTCTTCAACCTAGAAAGGAAGAATATATATTAATAATATGCGATGAGAAGACTAAGAATGGAAAACGAAGACAACCCTGAACATTCCCGCGACGCCTCCCACCCACCCCGTACGTACCCATTCAAGTTTCGTCGCGGATCGCGCCATTTTATTGTTTGCCGTTCGTAATCTTTTTGGTTTCTCTTAAAATTTAAGCACCTAACTAATCTTCGTGCCCTGGCTACCGGTATTTGAATCCAGTGAGTTGCTATGGCTATGAAATAAGTTAAGTTGAAACGCATAATCTCGAATCTGAGCCCAAAATAAAATAAAAAAAATTACTTCCGTTCCATATTATAATATTATAAAGTATTTTTTATTAAATTATATTTTAATCAATCAATTAATTATTTTTAAAATTATACATTATTTAAAGGTTTATTTTTATTTAAGAAAGTGTCTTGATTAAAAATTTTTATTAATTATACCCTTTAGTTAAGAGTATTGTTGAAAAAATTTCATTAATTATATATTAGATTAAAATACTTTATATTTTTAAACATTTTATTTTATTTAAAATACAATATATTTTTGAAAGGGAGTACATTGTTTTGAAAGGAGCACTGACATTTTACGTTTATTCTATGTAAGAAGTAGAAAGGTCTACTTATATTTGAAATTAATTACTAACTGGATTGGATGCGCCTACTAATCATGCTTTTGGACTGGAATAATACTCATGTAGGCTTTGTTAAAGCCGAAGATCAACGCTCAAGTACTGTTATGTATTTATTTTTGAACAACTCTAAACATTAGATGTGTGAGAAGCTGCCTACAAGTGGGCAGAGAATTTTTCAAGAGATAGAGGGATACATCAAGAACTAATTTTTGTTAATATACTGAGGGCAAAAAGCTGACTCTTCCCATTTGGATTGAAATATGCACAAGAGCAAGAATTTAAATCCCTAATCATTTACGTAAATGACAAACTGACAACAGAGCTCTTGTCACTCACATTAACGTGAGCTGGTGTGTGAGTAGAGAATTTCATGCACACTTGGGTCGAGATTCCATTTGAGGGAAATTAAACGATTAGAGAAGGGAAAGGGAGAGAAACAAAAACAGAGGGCCGGGAGTATTGAGTGGTGGAGAAAAACGAGGCATAAATGAATGAGAGCCACACAAAGTATCACAAGGCAAGAGGTTCGCCTTTTTCTTCCGCGAATTGGGAAGAAGCCAACTTACATCTGGCAACTTCCATTAATTGACCAGTAATTGTTTTGGAAGAGAAAAAGGTCATTGTGTGTTGATGCTGCTATGTGGTTGAAGGCATTTCTTTTCGTTTTCTGCACGCATGCATCCTTGAAAAGAGTCCATGTTCCTCGTCACGTGACTCGCCTTATCCATGCAAGGCATCAAATGTAACGTCATCTTCCTCTTAATATTGTAACGCCCCATGTTTCTATCTTTTTCTCCCACTTATAGTTGTGAGAGGGGTCACCATATATAGGCGACGTATGTTTGTTGAGTAAGACAAGGTTGACTATAATTATTTTCAAGCGGGGTTAAAACCATCGATCCCTTGTTGATAATAGAGATTGGACACTACTAGACCTCTTTCAGTGCCAAAGATTTCTTTACGTTCCTAACTATTTACTTTTGGTCAGGAATTCCTGTGATTCACGTCAGCTCTAATAAAAATAATTTGAGATTTGGAGAGAAACCGTGGATGAATTAACTATCCCTGTCTGGTTATCCTTTGCTTATTATCTCTAGAGATAATTTGCTTATTTTCTTAGTTTCCAGCACAAAGCTCGTTGCACGAGTTGCATGGAAGAATTTTGATTCCTGGATAGGTATTCAACTTCCGGATAGCTTTCCAAATGTACGATAGTCCCCACCCCAAGAGCCTGTACCCATCCACAATTGTACATACCATGGCACTGTACCTAGTTCTCTCAACAAGATCAGAAATATTGACATTCTTAAGACTTGAGCAACCACTTGGGATTGGTAAACTTTACTCCGATCACGCATGCATTACATTTTTTCAGTAACATTATTTGTTGCGTTTTTGTATTTTTAATCAGATAATTTTTCTTTTCAATGTGTTTGATTCGACAATGAAAATGATCGTCCATTTATTTTTAGCTTCTTGTAATTAATTAAACGCATTTCTCATTTTATTTTAAAATGAAAAATAAGATACTTGGAATAAAATATGATTCAGGGTGGTCGGATATAGTTTTCTAATAAAAATATTTTTTAAAAAAAAATGTTATAATTAGGCAGGATATTAACATTTATATGTTTTTTGGGGTTAAGTTAGCAATTGAATGTTTAAATAAGAATTATTTGTCATCTAGAAAAATGAGAATGGCTCTTCCAGCCTTCTGGGCCTTAGGTGCTGGGTCCAGGCGCTTCTGAAAAGTGATTGGAGCCCCGTTATTTCAGCAAATTCTGGGGAAATGCTTTCACTTCCTTCCCGTCTTCACCTCGCAAGTTATAGCCACTCGCCAATCCCCATCCTCTCAGGTCTCACCAGTTAAGATCACGGGGGCGGTGGTTTCTGATAGAGTTGGTAAAAAAGTCCAGCCCGACCCTGTAAGGTCAGCCTTTAAAGGGCTCGAACTTAAAAAAACCAGCCCCTTTAAGCTCGAATTCCCTTTAAGACCCTGATATTTAAAGCTCGGCCCTTGACATAGCGGGCTCAGGGTCGGCCCTGCGGACTTTAGGCCCTTTTAATTATTTTTATTTTTTAAAATTTTTTAATCAAATAAAAAATTACTTCATTTTAATATAATACTCAATCAAGAAAGGTATAAAAAAAACTAACTAAATAACATCTAAATGAACTAAAAACACAAATAAAATAATAGTAATGTAATAAGCAATAGATTGGCTAAGCTGATAAAAACCCAATCAAAATTAGAAGAGTAAATATTGAACTGAATGAATCATTATCATGGATCTAGATGAATTAGGGGATTTAAGGTTGTATTTTTTTTTTTTAGAAAATAGTAGCCAAGGATTTCTATATAAAATTTATATCAATTAAGAATCAATTGTTGTCAAAACTTGAATGAAAAACAAGTTACAATGAACTATTGTTAATTTAAAATGAGTTATTATTAAAATCTAAATAAATACTTATTGATAAAGGCTAATTCGAATCCACAAGTATCTACTCGAATTTTGACAACAAGTAATCTTTGATTGATATAATTTTTGATCAGTGATTCTTCATTGCTATTTTTCCTTCTTTTTTTTTCCTTCCATCCTCAGTAAATATGGGCTAATATGTGATGTGCAGTAAGATTTAGTTTAATTTTTTTTCAAATTTAAAAATAGTAAAAATTATGAGAATTAATTAAAAAAATGCATATGCGGGCTTAAACGGGCTAGCCGAGGGCCAGCCCTTTTAAGCCCTAGATTAAACGGGCGGCCCATTTAAGCTCAATTTATCATTTTACAGTTCTATTTACAAGCCTGGCTCTACTCTTATACGGGTTTAAACGGGCTAGCCCGACGGGCTCGGCCCGTTTTCCCAACTCTAGTTTCTGGGGGCTTTTTTGTCAATTTCTTTATATTCAAAACAAACAATAAGGTGTCTGTTAATATTTAATCAAGTGGTTTTAACAATTAGATTATGATCTAATTTTCCCTGTGCAGAATTTTAAAAAGAAAAATATGTCTGCAGGCCCCAACAATTTTATTCAATTTTAAATTTAAATTAAATTCTTATAATTTATTTTGTTTTAATTGACTCTTATAATATAGTTTGATTAATTAAATTTTTTAATCTCAAAAAATTAAAATCCTTGAATTTTTTTAAAAGAACTAAAAATTAAGAACTTTTATATTTTTACTAAATGATTATATGACTTTAGAATTAATTACATTATTTTTACAGCTCAAAATTTATATAATTAGGTTATTTTCTAAATATTTTTACACGTATAAAAATTTCATAAAAATTAATAAAAATATAAATGTATAAAAAAAATTATTTTTAAATTTTGGCTAAAAATATTAAATTAAAATATCTATAAACTTAAGAGTTTTTTATTGCAAAATTTAATAATTAATTATTAATTTTAACCTTAAGATGTTAACATGTATAATAAATTAAATTATAAGAGCTTGATTAAAATAAAACAAATTACTGGGACCTAATTAAAATTGAGTGAAGTTGTAAAGATTTGTAGATATATTTTTCACTTTAAAAAAAATAGTATTTAATAGAGGGTTAAGGATCAAAATATTCTTAAAGTGTATATAATTTACAAATAACCCTAAATTCAACCATAAGTCATTTATATCACTCAACTTTAAAAGATAATTACTCTATGATCCTAACATTAATTTACTTATCAAATCCATTATGTGGGTCTCATATATAAATTTTTTAATATTTTTTATTATAAGATATTACTTGCAGGTCCCATGTTATTTTTTTTATTTCTCCTTCTCCCCCCATTTCTCTACAAATTCTCATCATTTCCCTCTCCTGCTTGCCCCTCTCTCCCTCTTACCCCTCTCCTCCATTCAATCTCCCTCTCCCATCCCCCTCCTTCTTGTCTCTCTTATTCCCTCTTCCTTTCTCTCCTCTTTTTCTCAACCATTCAATCTCCCTCTCCACTCTCTCCCCTATGCTTTCTCTCTCTCCCCCTCATCCTTCTGGTCATCATCCTCACCAATGCCATGATAACTTCAGTGATTACTGTGGATGGGCTGGACATGATGCACGCTCGCTCACGCGCGCGCACTCCCTGGCTACACTGCCACTCTCTCTCCCCTTCCTCTCCCTTGTGGCCTCATCTGACTCCCCCTCTGCTCTACTACCTCCCTCCTAAACTAAAACAGTGTGTGTATGTCTAGAGAGAGAGAGCGTGCATGCGTGCATGCAAGATAGAGTTCAACAATGAAGAATACAAGCAAGCAAGATAAAGGACTCTTGAAGGGAGAGAGAAAGCTTGAGAAAGAGGCAACTATGGTAAAAATGAAGAAGAGAGTGTGGGAAGAGAGAAGGAGATGAGATAGAGTGAAGAGACGATGGGAGAGTACAGACAGAGAGATGAGCAAAAGTTGTCCCTGGGGGTGAAAGTAAGGAGTCTCTACTCTTTACTAGTTCTGACAGAACCCAAGCCTGTGGATCTCTCTTCTGAGTCCAGTGCATTTGAAATGGCCTTTCATAGACAATGGAGTGAGTCTAACCAGATTTGTATA